CAGTCATTCTTACAGGGGTGAGATAAGGCCTCTTTGTGGTCCTACTTTGCATTTCCTTGATGATAGTGATATTGAGCAACTTTTCATGTACCAGGTGGCCATTTGTATGTATTCTTTGGAAAAAAGTCTCTTCAGATCCTCTGCCTATTTTTCAATTAGTTTTTTTTTTGTTTCTTTGTTTGGGTTTGTTTTTGTTTTTTTGCTATTTGGTGTAAAAAAAAAAATTATTGCCAAGACCAATGTCAGAGAGCTTATGTTTTCTTCTAGGAGTTCTATAGTTTCAGATCTTTAATGCATTTTGAGTTAGTTTTTGTATATAGTGTAAGATAGTGGTTGAGTATCATTCTTTCACATGGGTATTCCAGTTTTCCCAACACCATTTTTTTTAAATTAAAACAAAAGTACTTTTTCAATCCTTACCCAAGGAAATTTTTAGGGAGAGAGAGTAATATCAATATGAGAAACATTGATCAGTTGCCTTCTGTACATGCCCTGACCCCTGACCTGGGATTGAACAAATCAACAACCTTTTGGTGCTCAGGACAATGCTTAACCAACTGAGCCACTCCTGGTGGGCCACAACACCAATTATTGAAGAGATGGTCCTTGCACAAGTGTATATTCTTGGCTCCTGGTCATAAATTAATTGATAATATAAGTGCGGGTTTATTTCTGGACTTCTGATTCTTTACCATTGAACTATGTGTCTGCTTTTATGCCAATACCATACATTTTTATTACTACTGCTATGTAGTATAGTTTGAAATCAGGAAGTGTGATGATTCCAGCTTTGTTCTTTCAAATTGCTTTGGCTATTCAGGATCTTTTGTGGTTTCACAAAAATTTTAGGATTAGTTGTTCTATTTCTGTGGAAAAAAATGGCATTTTTCATAGGGATTGAATTGAATCTGTATATTGTATTGGCTAGTATGAACATTTTAACACTATTGATTCTTCTAATCCATGAGGAAGGAATAGCTTTCCATTTATTTCTACCATCTAGATTTCTTTAATCAATGTCTTATAGTTTTAAAGTGTTCAGAAATTTCACCTCCTTGGTTAAAATTATTCCTAGGCATTTTGTTCTTTTTGATGCAACTATAAATGGGATTATCTTAATTGCTCTTTCTGATAGCTCATTATTAGTGTATATAAATGAAACATATACTTTATATTGATTTTGTATCCTATAACTTTACTGAATCCATTTATGAGTTCCAACAAGTTTTTTGTGGGGTTTTTTTGTTTTTTTTTTGGTGTATTCTTTAGGGCTTTCATATGTAATTTCATGCCATCTCCAAATAGTGATAGTTTTATTTCTGCCTTTCTGATTTTGATGTCTTTTATTTCTTTTTCTGGCCTAACTGCTCTGGCTAGGACTTCCAATACTGTAGGAAGAGTGGGCATCCTTGTCTTGTTCCTGACCTTAGAGCAGCGGTTCTCAACCTGTGGGTCGCGACCCCTTTGGCGGTTGAAAGACCCTTTCACAGGGGTCGCCTAGGACCCTCCTGCATAGCAGATATTTACATTATGATTCATAACAGTAGCAACATTACAGTTATGAAGTAGCATCGAAAATAACTTTATGGTTGGGTCACAACATGAGGAACTATATTTAAAGGGCCAGAAGGTTGAGAACCACTGCCTTAGAGGGGAAGCTTTTATTTTTTCACCATTGAGTCTGATGTTAGCTATGGACTTGTCATACATGGCCTTTATTATTTTGAGGCACATTCCTTCTATACCCACTTTGTGGGGAGTTTATCACAAATGGGTGTTGAATTTTGTCAAATGCTTTATCTGCATCTATTGATATGATCATATGATTCTTATCCTTCATTTTGTTAATCAGGTATATCATGTTATTTGATTTGCAAATGTCAGACCATTCTTGTATCCCTGGAATAAATCCCAATTGATCATGGGGTATGATCATTTTAATGTACAGTTGAATTCAGTTTGCTAGTAGTTTATTAGAGTGTCCTAGAGAATTTTTACATCCATATTCATTAGGGATATTAGCCTGTAACTTTCTTTTCTCGTGTCATCTTTATCTGGTTTCAGTATCAAAATAATGCTGGCCTCATAAAATGAGTCTGGAAGTGTTCCTTCCTCCAATTCTTCTTTGAATGTTTGATATAATTTGCCAGTAAAGCTGTCTGGTCTTGGACTTTTGGGCAGGGGAGTGATTACTGATTCAATCTCCTTACTAGTAATTGGTCTGTTCAGATTTTCTATTTCTTCATGATTCAGTCTTTGTATGTTGTATATTTCTAGGAATTGTTTCCATTTCTTCTAGGTTGTCCAATTTGTTGGCATTTAATTGTCTCATATAATCCATTGTATTTCTGTGGTATCAGTTGTAATATTTCCTCTTTCATTCCGGTTTCATTTCAGTCCTCTCCCTTTTCTTCCTGGTGAGTTAAACCACCATTTACATTTTTATCTCATAGGCACAAGAGAGAGCCATCACTTCAAGCAGAAGATAACAATCCATTGAGACCTAAATATCCCAAACACAAGGGGGGGGGGCGGTATCCATAGGGAACAGGTAGAGAATTCTTTCATCTGCTTTAGGCTAGTGATGAGGTAACATCCCACCTACCATGGGAGCTCTTCAAAGCTCTTTTCCTGACTCCCAGCTAGTCCTCTGGGCCTTCAGTTCTCTGAACTCATGGCTCTGAACCCAATCAATTTGCTGTTCTTTTCAGTACATATGAGTCAGCACCCTGGCCTGTCTTCAACAGAAAAGAAAATAGCGCCCTGGAATTCCTGAAGAAGGACAGTGCTATCCTGGGCTTATGCTAGGTCAGGAGTATCACAGAGGACAAGATCCTTCCTTGAAGAAAATACCAGTATAGACTGGGATGTTGCCAGCAAGATGACGAGGTTGATATCATCATCTAGCACCCAGGATTTCTTAATTATTCAGTGGGTTTGATCATGTTAAATTACCATAAATCCCTTTTATTCATCTATTTCCCCCACTACATAGTAAGCTCTAGGATGGGACTATTCTCTTATTAATCATTGCATTTTGGGGTTCGGGATACTGAACAATATGGGATGATATTATTTTCACCTTGATAACAGAGGAACAAGTTATGTCTATGATCAAAAAGCTCTACCTATAAATTTTTCCGTCACCCCACCCCCCAGGCTCCAACTCAACCCAGCTTCTTCTATTAGGGGAATGGATATATAATGAAAAACCTCTCCTATGACTCATGCCTACACACTGTTCTAAACGTGCATCTAATAAGGCTATTCTCTACTAGATTTATAAATAGTAATGATATCAATAGTTTTATGACTATGTGTAGAGCACTTGTTTCATGCTTATGCCAACCTTAAAGATAGGTAGTAATAGTCTATTTAAGAGATAAGGAAACTAAGGTTCAGAGCATTATATAAGTGAGCCAAAATCTATCACCCAGAAAGTGCTAATGCCAGCATTGGAGCCAAGTAGATGACTCTAAAATCTATCACCCAGAAAGTGCTAATGCCAGCATTGGAAACAAATAGATGACTCTAAAATCTATCATAGTATGCAATTTCTCTTAACACTAAATAGAAGCATTTGCCTTTCGATGCAGAATTAAACCCAAAACCTTTAAATGTGCAGGATTAAGCTATAATTTTGGACTGAAAGGTGGCAGGGTTGGAATTCTGAGGCAGAGACTCTGTTCACTAGTCAGTGGCTTTTTCTATCCACTCTTGATCTGAAACACGCCTGTAATGAACCTCTGCTCATTCAGTTCACTGCCATATATTCTTTTATAACAGGACATGGTGACTGCAGCTTCTACTTACCTATTTGAAGCCACAGAAAGAAGATTTTTTTTCAAAAATGTATCAATATTAATTCCTGATACTTGGAAGGAAAACCCTCAATACAGAAGACCAAAACATGAAAGCTACACACATGTAAGAGTAAAAAAAAGTCTCTTAAAATATTATATTTTCTGGTGCTCCTCCATTGAACTGAAAATTGATTGTTTTAGAGTTTTTCTGACTAAATGTTATCATTTCTATTTCTGATGTTTTAAAAATCTTTTTAAACATTCTCAGGCTGATGTTTTAGTTGCACCACCTACCCTACCTGATAGAGATGAACCATACACCAAGCATTTTAAACTCTGTGAAGAAAAAGGAGAATACATTCATTTCACCCCTGACTTTGTACTTGGGAAAAAACAAAAAGAATATGGACCAGCAGGTAAGAATTAGATTAATATATATTTTGCAATGATTCCAATAAGCAGATGTGTACCCAAGTTAAATGTACAAACCTTAGAGCCAGAGTCTATAGGCTCAAATCCTAGCTCCCCTTGGACAAGTGAGCTAGACTCTCTGTGCTTATTTCCTGTAAAATGGTGAATAGAGGAGCTACTACTGTATAGAATTGTTGTGAATATTAAATTAGGTAATCCATGCAACTGTTCTCAGTAGTGTCTACAGAAATTTGAACACAGCAATAATAATAAATATTTTTCTTAAGCATACTTTTCAAATCTTAATATTCCAGTTCTCCACAGCTGCATATTGATCATATGCCACCTTAATGGAAGGCAGATGTGTGAAAAGCTGAAAAGAGACAAGATTACAGTTCCTGGCCAAGAGAAAACACTCTGGGGCTGTAATTGCTGATACTATTATTCAACCTATTTGGTTGAACTAGATGTACTTGTCTGTTAGTGATCATTTTTACCTATAAAAATGGTAATTTCACCTAGTTCAGTCTAAAAGTTAAGGTCATTGGTTCAAATTAACTTAAAGCACATCATTTCACATGTCACTACACAGGAAAACATTCCTGAACCCACATAGTCCAAGGTCACCTCTCTTCCACTGTCCCTTCAATGAGCATTCATTAAGTCCCTTGTTTTTGTCAAACACTCAACCCTGGTTCTCATTACCTGTTTCCCAACCAGTCTTGAAAGCTCCATCATCTCATGCCATCTGACTTTTAACTCTCCCCATACTTTAGTCCAATCACATTTCTTCTCCTTGGCACCTCTAACCTTTGCTCCCTTCTAACTATAATTTTTTCTTTACATGGCAGGTCCAGGGAAGTGTAAATAGCTCAATTCCCTCACTACTCTTATCCTTATGTTTCATTCAATTTGCCAAATCCTCTCTACTAAATTTCCAGCTAGTTTACTTTTGCTCCTGTTAATGTTTTCAAGATTGTGAAAGAAAATTACAAAGCTAATTGGTATCATTACAAAAATACATTTTTCAAACTTAGTGAAGTCCTCACAGCTACTCAATAATGTTGTACTTGCATCTTCTCAACTCCCTTTCTCATTCCTAAGCAGCTGTTCTAAAACTTGTACCATTTTTCTCAAGATCTGTAGCCACTTTTTTTCAATCCCATCAATCAACAGATGCCTTGATTGAGAAATAGAACCCCTACCTTTTTCTCTACTTCCAAATTCATGTCTACCTGCACCTATATTAGACAAGAAGGATTTTCTCTAATTTTAAAGCTAACATCCCCACTTGAGCTCTTGTTCTTTTGTCATACCCCCACCTCAGCCCTATTCCATAACGGGTAACTTTCCCCCTTGCTCTTGAACAGGAGCTTTTCTTATAATGTGATACATGTGTTTGTGAAAAACTCACATGCTGAAAAACAATGTTCTAAAAACAACATGGCTCTTGAACAACAAGATTAAGAAGAGAGTCCTCAAAATATATGCAATTTGTAATAAATATAGTAACAACAATAGCAATAGGTACCTGGAAAGAACATTTAAACAATCTTGGCCATAGCTCAGTTTGGCTGGAAGCTGCTATCATAGTAGATATTAAAAGTACAGATGCAAGCACACACATAGAGTGAAATGCTATTAGAAATGAGAACAGGCTTAGTAGGAATTGAGAAAATGATATAGATGTGAATGAAATTCTGTTAGAGGTGATGCTTTTCCTGCAATAAAAAATTATATACATTTAAGGTATACAACATGTTTATTTGCTATACATATACATAATGAATGGTGAAATTATTACTATAGTCAAGCTAAGAAGCATAACATCTCCTCATATAGTTACGTGTGTGTGTGTGTGTGTGTGTGTGTGTGTGTGTGTGTGTGTGGTGAGATCCGAACTCTACTTTCTTAGCAAATTAAGATGGGCTTGGGAGGCAGGGCAACCTGCCATGAGCTGTGAAGAAAGCAAGTGTAAGAGTAGACCACTGTAAAAAGGAAGCCAAGGTGCAGGCAATTTTATGTTTTCTTAAAATTCACCAAATTTTTATGATCTGAGGAATTTAAGTGATATGAAGGGTATTTTCCCCTCCTATACTGAAGGTTATATATAATTCCAAAATCACTAATCTGACTCCAGTTGCTTAGAAAATCTTACACCAGTGCTTTTAAATTTTAAAATGTAGAAGAATAACTTAGGGAACAGTTTCTGATTCAGTAGATCTAGAGTAGAACCAAGATTGTGCATTTCTTGTTAGCTCCCCCATGATGCTGATACTGGTGGGTCAAGGAACACATTTTGAGTAGCAAGGACTTAAAGAAGAAAAATGACTTTTGCATAATACTGACATTTTCCTCTAATTTTTGGATCTCATGAGTTCATTTGAGTTAGAGAAACAAATGGTAGCAGAACAGACTATATTTCCATCTTCTCCTTCTCCATTTCTATTTCATTTGAAGTTTTTCCTAATATTGATAAAGCAAAAAGTCTACTTGTTTTTTCTTTCTGCATTTCAAGTTATGGGTGTACCTTTATTCTTCCATTTACCCTGAAATTATTAGAAAAAAAAATTTTTATTCTGACTCCTTCTAAGTCTAATCTAGAAAAGGAATACATCCTATTCATCTTTATATTTCCTAGTACCTAGTATAGTGTTGAAAATATGATTAATAAAACTTAATTTCATATAATAAATTAATCACTTCATTTAGATAACCCCAACATTATATATAATCTATAGCTGTGTTTTCAATCTTTATTTTTTCATTATCAAATCCCTAAGGAACATTTGTACACATTTTTAAAAATTTAATTGTGCTCCCATGAAATTTTAGTACCACAAATTTTACCTATATGTTTATGTTGTTAGTCGGAGTGAACTTTGTAGAACCAAAAAACCATTATAATATGTAAGATTTTTGTTCCCCACCCCCATTAACCAAAACCTAAAGCCCAGTCTATTCTGTCCATAGCATATACATACATACACAAAAAAAGTTTCGTTGATTTAACATTATAGAGAGATAATATATTATATACCATATTATAATTCAATATAATGTTATATGCTTTTTTACAAACCAAAATATAAATATTGGCAGTTATTTAAAACCTAAATATAATTATTTTTATTTAAAAACCCATTGCTTAAAATATTTGAAGGGCAAATTTTGTCGCTTGAATTATGATCATATATTTGAAATATTTTCCCACAGACAGACTACTTGTCCATGAATGGGCCCATCTCCGCTGGGGAGTTTTTGATGAGTACAATGACGATGAACCTTTCTACAGTGCTTCGTCTAAAAGAATTGAAGCAACAAGGCATGATCATTTACATTTTCTTCAGTTACTTCAGGCTATCACTTTCTTAGTTTGATTTATATTTATTTGAAATGCCAATCATTCTTTTGTCCCAATGCAGGTAATAGACATTATAACATAAAAACAGTGTCCTTTTAAAAAAAGAAAATGTATCTAAAAGTGGCTAGTTTCCCATTTAAAATACACATAACTTCAAGAACATTTGGAAGCCAAATTGACATATTTTTATACCTCTCCACCATGGCTACCAGAACTCATTTACATTAAAGTTGGTCTCTGTGTAAAGGGTTGTACTATATGCTGGGAGAGCAAAACAAGAATGGAAAAAATGGTTAATAAATAGTGGTAACTGCAGGCTGAGTAAAAAAAATCAACCAGCTTCAAGGAACCATAACAGAAATTTCCTGAGATTTATAAAATTCACTTTAAAAATACCAATCTAACATCACAGTTAATAACAGATAATCCTCATGGTTCTGAGGTTAAGAGTGCAGAATGGGTGGAGGAAATCTATCTAAAATTGTCTACCATCAGTTTACTCAATCTTAAATGCCCAGCTGGGGCTTGGGACTTATCAAAAATGTATAAACTCTAAGATATATGATTTCAATGAAAGCCCTTTATTAGCCATAGCACCACTTTCAGGATACATATTCTAGAGAATATTACATTGATTACATTTGTTTCATTATATTCCCCTTAAATGTCTAGTTTATACTGTGCAAAATTCATCATGATTGTTAGTAGAGATAACATCATTATATCCACAGAGTTTTGAGGCAATAGTAGCATACATATTTGTAGGAGACTCTCTAAATTACTGAATGAAAGTTAGTCATTTTTTTTAATTAATTAAATTATTATTTAAGGTATTACAAATAGTAGTACATATGTCTCCTTCTTTTCCCCATTGACCTCCGCCCCGCCTCCCCTACCCCCCGGCCACTTGCCCTCATCCCCCCCATTGTTTCTTAAATATGAATTGGAAACACAATGAATAGGTGGGATATATTCACATGCTAGCATGTTTGTTATAATCACTGACACCTGTGGCCAATTCCATGCAACAAAACATATGTCTAAAATGCCTCCACCATTCTTTACTGTCCTAGGCAATACTTCAGTCTTTCCTTCAGGCCACATTTCACTTTGGATAAAAATGCTCCTTGAATAATCAAAATACTTATAGTTATGCCACATCCCATTGTTTTAGAGGTAGCTTTGGGGGGTGGAGGGAAATCTATAAAGAATTTTAAGCTAAGCTGGTACCAAGAGTAAATGGTTTCACAAGTTATCTTGCCCAGATGCCTGCAATGCATTTACTTCCACAAGGCTGCCAGGAGAGATGTTTGGAAAAGGGGAGCCTTGAATCATTAGTGTTAACAGGTCAGCAGCAACATTTTAATCTCAGCAGATAGCTCAGCCATTACATACACTGGGAATACCACTTAAAATTTCCCTCTGAAATTTCTTAGAGAACTGCTCTGGTAGAAATCCTTACACTTTACTGTCAAATAAGAATAAAAACCTTGATATAAGGATCATTGTGAATAGAAACACTTAAGATTTTCAAAAAGTTGTTACTGGTTAGATTGCCTCAAAGACTAACTGTCACTTATTTTCAGGTGTTCCACAGGTATTACTGGTGTGAACAGAGTTTATAAATGTCAAGGAAATAGCTGTGTATTTAATAAATGCAAAATTGATCCTAAGACAAAACTATATGAAAAAAATTGTCAATTTTTCCCTGACAAAGATCAAACTGAAAAGACATCCATAATGTTTATGCAAGGTATTACTTCTGTAAGTATGTCAATTATTTGTTCATATAGTATATTTATAATCAAAGGGCATGTTATCACGTTTATAAAATATCTGTGCAGGTGGCCTGAGGGATTAAATGTATTAATATAGAGTTCTTTGAACATTGACTGGCACATAATAAGTACTCAACTAGTGCTATTTATTATTACTACCATTGAAAATCCACTTTAGTATTCTATGATTCCTCAATGAATCAAATTTCATTAAACAAAACGCCTATTTGCATAGATTTTTTATTTTTATCAAATTTTTAGTTGAATGTTTAAATGCATATGTAACACTTTTTTTCATCTTATTAACCTTTTAGGTTGTTAAATTCTGTAATAAACAAAACCATAATGAAGAAGCTCCAAGCCTACAAAACAAGAAGTGCGAATTCAGAAGCACATGGGAGGTGATTAGCAATTCTGAGGATTTTAAAAACACCACACCTATGGTGGAATCACCCCCTTCACCTGTCTTCTCATTGCTGAGGATCAGAGATAGAATTGTGTGCTTGGTTCTTGATAAATCTGGAAGCATGGCGGTATGTTCATGGGCCCATTTTTCCTAGATATAGTGACTAATGGATGATTGAATCCCTAAGAACACTCTGAACACTACCTTCACCTGGGTTGTTCTAAATTGCATGGTGGGATAAGACCAATCATGTCCTATGATTACAACCTCAGGATGGGCAGTGAATATTGTAATGAAAGCAGGATGACAATACAGTTGAAAAGACTTAACATGGAAGACTCTTTTTTCCAGAAAATGGAAGGTTTACTGAGGAGAACTTTTAGGCCCATTAGTAAAGATTTAGTTAGAAGATCAGAAGGAGAGATTGAAATACAGAAATGTTTTCTTACCCGCCTCTTTGATCTCCTGGAAATACCTAACAGACTTGAGGATACAGTGGATCGCTGAACTCCATTCAGAGTCAATCTTATTTATCATCTATATAAGTGACTCTTTATGATCAAAGAGACAAGCAAAAAGCACCACCATAAGGAAGCTATGGTCAGATTCAGCCACTTAGGCCTTCTATCACTTAGTAAACAGTAGGCATTGTGCTAGGCTCTAGGAATAGAGACCCATATCCTTGAAGGGTTCACAGAGAAAACTTTCCCTTCCCCATTACCACATTAACTCACACTCCTCCTTCAAAATTTGGTACAGACGCCCACCTCCTGCAGGAGATGGACTGGTCTTCCAGGCTGAGCTAACGTCCCTTCTGCTGGTTTCCCACAATAAACTGTGCAAACCTCTATTCTACATATTATATTGAAATTACACATTTCTCTCCCACTAGACTAGGTGCTCCTCTAGTACTTGGAACCATATCCTCTAGAAACCATGTCCTCTCGTACTTGAAACCATTTCTTATTCATCTTCATCTCCCTTTTGTCTAGAACAGGGTTTATCACATATAGGTGCTTAATAAATAATTACTGAAATGAATGGACTATTAAAGAGCAGGCATAATGTGATGCGGCATCCAGAAGAATGGCACATTTGAGACAGGACTGAGCATACTGAAGACCAAAAAGAATGCATTCAACAAATGGGGGTTTGCGTGGTTACAGAAAGGGCAGAGAATCATCCACAACAGCACAGGGTTTCAGAAAGAGCATCAGTGCTAGACACCAGCACATAGAAGTGTTCTAGGAGGTGTCGTTGGGAAGAGATGACAGAGCCTGGTTTAAAGGTAAAGCAACGTGGCAAAGAGAGCCCTCAAAGATGGGGCTGAAGAAGTCTCTCACTGTGACTTGGATCTAGGGAGTTTAGAAGGAAATTTTGGCATGTGTTAAGGGGAGGAACTACAGATAAGTTGGTGTTGAGGGACTGGAAAAGGCAAATGTATGAAGAGATTTACTTCCTGGGCATTCACCTAAGTAAGAGGGATGTGAGTCTTAATGGGTTACCACAGAACCAATGCCAATTAACCTATTGGTAGAGAAATGTTGGGGAGAGATTAGGAGCAGAAGTAGGAACAGAGCCTCTCAGAAATTTGCTGCAACTCAAGAAACTTTTTAACTTTTGAGTTGTCTAGTCTCCAGTGGGTAGGGAGATTTCAGTCTCTAGTTGGAGTCCTTGACAGTCTGGTTTGAAATCATAGGGAGTGATTTCATCTTGACATCCCAAGAGTAATTAGGAAGTCTCTAAGATGTGAGTCACCACCCCTCAATTTCAACCCAAACCCCAAACCTGCACCTGTAATTTGGGTGCTAAGCAGCCAAGAATCACTTCTAGTTAAAAGCCTGTGTTCCTTACCATATGTTTCATAATACATGTAACTATGTTTTTAAACGTTATCAATTAAAAAATTGCTTTCTTTAATGACACCAATTACTAATAGAAAATTCTTATTAAATTTTGTTTACTCATTTTATGTAATCTACTATTATTTTCCAGTCAAAACCAATTGGTTGTTTTTCTTTTGTCCTTTTTCATTCAGGGTTATAACCGCCTAAATCGAATGAATCAAGCAGCAAAATATTTCCTGCTACAAGCTGTTGAAAATGGAACCTGGGTGGGGATGGTGCATTTCGATAGTACTGCCAACATCAAAAGTAAGCTAATCCAAATAATAAGCACCAACGAAAGAAATATGCTCGTGAACAGCTTGCCTATAGCACCTAGTGGGGGAACTTCCATCTGCGCTGGAATTAAAGCAGCATTTCAGGTGAAAATCACACTGCATATAGTATAGTTTGTTTTTTATCATGAAAACATTTTTCTATTAGTGCTGCTGCACATACTTACTCACTAATTTTAACATAAATAATTCTAAGAAATACAGAACTAAGAACTTTAAAAAGTCACTTGATTTTCTAAATGGGTCAGTGAATCAATGAATAAACTGATGGATAAATATATTACTATTAGAAGCCCGGTGCATGAAATTCATGCATGGGGGAGGGTCCCTCAGCCCAACTTGCACCCCCTCCAATCCAGTACCCCTCAGGGATTGGGCCTAAACCAACAGTCAGACATCCCTCTCACAATCCAGGACTACTGGCTCCTAACCGCATACCTGCCTACCTGCCTGATTGCCCCTAACCACTCTGCCTGCCTGCCTGATGCCCCTAACTGTTCCCCTGCCTGCCTGATCACCCCTAACTACCCTCCCCTGCTGGCCTGGTCGCTCCTAACTGCCCTCCCCTGCTGGCCTGATCGCCCCTAACCACCGCTGCCTTGGGCCCCACCACCATGGCTATGTCCAGAAGGACATCCGGAAGATGTCCAGTCTAATTAGCATATTACCCTTTTATTAGTATAGATAAGAATGCCACTAGAATATAAGTCCAATAAAGTCAGGAACTTTATGGTTTGTTTACATGTTCTTTTACCTTGCAATAGTCAGTGCTCAGTAAATGTTAATTAAATAAATGAGTGATTGAGCATCAAAGTCATCAACTTTTAAGGCAATGAAACAAGTTAAATGGTGTGATTCTACTTTAGGCCAATCCTCATTTCAGTCTCTGTGACACTCAGATAATCTGAAGTTTATCTACTAAGCAGATGTAGCAGGGACTGTTAGTCATAGGGTAAGGAATACTGGTGAGAACATGAGTTTTGACATCAAAGTACTGACTGCTATTTACCAGTTTTGTGGTCTTAGGCAACATTTTCAGTATCTTTGACTTTCAATGCCTTATCTACAAATATAGGCAAATAAGAATGTCTACTTCATAGGATTATCATGATAATTAAATGCAATTATATATTTACATACATAGAATAATATTTATTATATTACACAGTAAATATATAATTTACAACTATTATTATAAACCTTATTTTCTTCCAAACTGTATCTTGAGCTTATAATTAATATTAAACGTGTCATTTTCCTGCTTAGAAATCTCCATGCTTCCCTCACAGTCTATAAAATTACATCTGAATTCCTCAGTCTGATGCTATTCAAAATGTCTATCACTCCCTCAGTAAAACTGCTCTCATCTCTTTCTCCAGCCTATAATTCTCAATTCTCCTTTCTGATGCCCTATGTTTAACCCAGTGGTCCCCAACCTTTTTTTGGCCATGTTCCACCTAAGCATCTCTAAAATCCCGATTCCCCCTCCCCCCGGGACATATAATTCTTATTATTCAAAAAGTGAACTCATATTCATGTGGAGGAAGTTTAAAAGGCCATTAACTTGGTCTGAACAAGCTTCCAAAGAATATGGCATTCATGAGAGAGAAAAATAAAAGAAAGAAAGGACAGCTGAAGTACTAAGGAAGAAGTCACTAGGAAATTGTTAAAAATAATAATAATAATATGAAGTGATATGAAAAGGTAGCAAATAAAGTCTCAAAACATATAATAGAGAACTGAAATGCATAAATATCTCACAATATGTATTTACATACTGTGTATGAGGCCCTAGAACCAAAAAATTCACTGTTAATAACTTATTCTCGAATTTCCCCCCTTCAAAATCAAATTGCTCCCCTGTGGGACGTGTGCCCCATGTTGGGAACCACTGCTCTAACCCAATTACTGCACACATTGCTCTCCAAGCCCACCATGTACTAACAGCCTCTGTTCCTTTGTCCAGGCAATTCCTCTACCTAAAATGTTCCCTTCTTTTCATTTTTGCATGTTAAGATTCTACCAATTCTTCAAAATTCTTGCTCCTTCATGTAGCATTTCCTGCTATTCTCAACCCTATTAAATCTCTCTCATTTATAATTTGCATGGCATTTTAGTGTAGCTTTCTAGCATGAAGTCCTACTTAAAACTAATTATCATTACTAGCTGTAACACTAAGCATGATTCTTCATCTCTATAGTCATTACCTCATTAGTAATAAATATATGTTTATAATGGAGTAATAAATATATGTTTGTTCATGTTTTAGTTTATTTAAGATACTAGAGGTCTGGTGCACAACATTCGTGCACTGGGGTGGGGGGTTCTCTCAGCCCCGCCTGCACCCTCTTGCAGGGAGTGGGCCTAAGCCCCAGTCAGACATCCCCTGAGGGGTCCTTAGTGCTGCCACTGAGGCGGGAGAGGCTCCCGCCACCACTGCTGCCCTTGCTAGCATGAACCTGGCTTCTGGCTGAGCAGCGCTCCTCCTGTGGGAGCACACTGACCACCAGGGGGCAGCTCCTGCATTGAGAATCTGCCCCCTGGTGGTCAGTGTTCATCATAGCAACTGTTCGTTCCATCATTCAGTCGATTTGCATTAATAGGATATTTATTATATTAAATAGAAGGTAAACATTAATATATTATAATTTATTCAACATATATATGTAGCAAGCAAAGCTTCCTTGTTCTTATGGCGCATGCAATTTCAGTGGGGAACCGATAGTACATAGGTAGATAAATGAATAAAAAAATAACTATAGATTGTGAAGATAGTATTGTGAAGAAATCAAACAAGGTGATGTGACAGACTAACTGGGAAAGGAAGGGCAGTGCCTACTTCAGGTGAAGAGGCTACTGAGACTCTCTCTGAAGAGTAACATTTAAGCTATGACTTGAAGGATGAGAAAGCCATTGTTTCAGGCAGAAAGGAAAGTGCAAAGTCCCTTAGGAAAGAGGTGGAAAATAACTGGATTATTCTAAAAATTGATAGAGCTAGTGGCACTGGTGTTTGATAAATGAGGGCGGGTGAAATGTAGTTGGCAGGTAGATAATGGCTAGATCTTTCACAGCTTAAAAAAATAAGAAGTTTTATTTTATTGTAAGCACCACAGAAGGGTTTTAAGCATTTAGATCACTGCCCCAGCCAGTTTCACTCAATGGATAGAGTGATGGCCTGCACACTGAAGGATCCCAGGTTCGATTCTGATCAAAGGACATGCCTGGGTTGCAGGCTTGAGCCCTAGTAGGGGGCCCGCAGGAGGTAGCCAATCAATGATTCTCTCTCATCATGCTTCTATTTCTCTCTCCCTTTGCCTCCTTCTCTGAAATCAAAAAAAATTTTAAGTGGTCATCAGTGATGATTTAGGAAGATGATTCTTGTTGCCCTGTATAAAATGAACTGTGGAGAGTAAGAGCAATAGTCAGGTAGTGGTCTAGCAACAGATTGGAAGCTTGGACTTGGATTGAATTACACATTATATAAAATACATTTAACACTTAGCAAATGTTCCAGGAAATGTAGCACTGTAATACTATGTTTTTCTATTGAACTACGGAATATATTAATTATGTCTTCATCAATCATCTCTATCTCCTTAGTCACTCACCTATACCTCAATACATATTTTTTTCAATTAATTCCATTCTTTCCAGGAATGCAGGAACCATGTAGTTCCTGTTGAATCTCCAGCAGCCAGGACAGTGACTAACATATATTAAATGCTCAGTGAATAACTAACACAAGAAAGGGAGAGGTGAACAAAAGAGAAATCTACTTCATCTTTGGATATTCGTTTTTCAATGAACTGTGTAGGGGGGAAGTGATTTATATAAATATTATAAATGTATAAAAACATTTCCTACTTTCCAGTTTGGTTTTAGTGCATGTCAGAGCATATTTCCCCAAAAATGCCATATATATGTGTGTGTGTGTCATTATTTGCCTCAAAACATGCAAAAATTTAAACGAGGATGTTCATATTGTTCCCCAACCCCAAGTTTATTAGGGATTTCTACATTCCAAACCCTTTTCTGCAAATCTCCATTCTAAATCCATGAAAGCCACTGATAAATAAGTCATATTTACCTCTTGGCCTGCACTGTTTCTCAAAATGGTGCACCAAGAAGCCACTGCCAATTAAACCTGTCAGAGAAGATGAAATGTATTTGCTATCCTGTGACAAATTCTCTTTATCCTTTTCTACAGGAGCCTAGACTCAGAAATCTGAGTGTAAACTGATTGGCTCTATAGCAGTGGTTCTCAACCTTCTGGCCCTTTAAATACAGTTCCTCATGTTGTGACCCAACCATAAAATTATTTTCATTGCTACTTCATAACTGTAATGTTGCTACTGTTATGAATCGTAATGTAAATATCTGATATGCAGGATGGTCTTAGGCCACCCCTGTGAAAGGGTCGTTTGACCGCCAAAGGGGTCGGGACCCACAGGTTGAGAACCACTGCTCTATAGGAAAAGGGTTCAAGCTACCAATAGAATTCCATCTCAAGAAACATAATTCATGTAATCTCGGAGCACCATCAATATACTTAGTTTTGTGCTTGTTAGATTTAGAAGTAAAATAAAAGTTATATAACAAGATCCCTAATCTTGACCTGCTTAGAACTTCCTATACTCTTTTTCTATAAGTATACTGAGGGTTTCCTAATTTGCAATCATAATGTGTTTTTTTAATGTTGAAGTGATATCTTAATTCATTTAGCTGTCTATGCAACAGATTTTATACACTAAAGCCTTGTCAGAGGGAAGTCTGGTCAAAGAAAGAAGAGAAATATCTAATGCCACACTCTGCAATTATATTTTTGGTATCTGGTTGACCTGACTTCCCAGGCTGAGATATCATTGATACTTAACCCAAGTAAGATGATCCAAAGCCCTGCTCCCTCATAACTTCATTTGAGCAAACATTCCCTAAAGCAGACAGACAGAAAATAGAGTCATGTTGAAGTTACCTTGGGGGTTGCTGACTGCAGATCCTACAATTTTAAAACAGAAGCTTTCTATTCTTTTCTGGGTATTTTTGTTTATTTTCTCTGTACACCTTTTCCTAATCTCTTGTAAGTCTAATTGATTTAGGAACCTGTGTTAATTATTCTCTGATTATGTTTACAGACAATAAGAGAAATATACTCCCAACTAGATGGATCTGAAGTAGTGCTGCTGACTGATGGGGAGGATAACTCTGCAAAAAGTTGCCTTTATGAAGTAAAAGAAAGCGGGGCCATTATTCACTTCATTGCTTTGGGACCATCTGCTGATCACGCAGTCATAGAGATGAGCGATGTAACAGGTAAAATATGACATAGGTAAAATATTCTAGTCCTTTAATAGCAATGTGTAAGTGTAGAGACTGACAACTCAACTTCTTGTGAGTTCCGAAGGCACTGTGCCAGGAACTAGGGACCAGAGTTAAACCAGACCTGATCTCTGTTTTCAAGATGCTCAGAGTCCTGCTGGCTAGCGAGACAAATAAAACTACTAATCAGGTACATATTCAGATAACATTCCTCCATAATGGGGGGAATCTCTAGAAGTCAAGCACCATGTGAGCTGAAGAAGCCATTAATTCTCCCAGGGTTGTATAAAATCTGAGAAAGAAGGCATGAGAGACAAAGTGACTTCTAAGCTGGGACTTGAACAAGATGTTGAATTTCTCTAGAGGAAAAAGGGGTTAAAAAAGATGATCAGGTCATGAGTAAAGAAGTCATGTTGGGATGACAATGAAAGGCACATGGAGGGATAGTAAGAAATCCATGAGATGAGAGATTACTTTGGCTATATGTGTAGGGGAGGAATGGGATTCACAGAGGCTCAGAATGAATAGATGTTAATAAGTTTTTAGATAAACATTTACACTGGTAGCTGTGATCTTAGATACAGAGACAAATGATTAAAATAGACAACATGTGCCTTCTTAAATATAGTAGAGAATACATAATTTACAACTTTATGAATATCAATTATTATATATTGAGTTGGCTTCTATTATTACCAAATACATACTTGCTTTTAAAAAAATTCTTTATTGTTTAAAGTATTTCATATGTCTCCTTTTTCCCCCATTGACCTCTCCCCGGCTGTTCCCACACTCCAGCACATGCCCTCACCCCTCTACTGTCCGTGTCCATGAGTTATGCTTATATGCATGCATAAAAGTCCTTTGGTTGCTCTTGTCTCCCCTCCCCCCCACCCCGCTTCCCCTCCCCTGACTTCCCTCTGATGTTTGAGGGTCTGTTTGATGCTTCTATGACTCTGGATCAATTTTTGTTCATCAGTTTATGTTGTTCATTATATTCCACAAATGAGTGAGATCATGTGATACTTATCTTTCTCCGACTGCCTTATTTCACTTAACATAATGCTCTCCAAGTTCATCCATGCTGCTGCGAAAGGTAAGAGTGCCTTCTTTTTTACAGCAGCATAGAATTTCATTGTATAGATATACCACAGTTATTAATCCACTCATCTACTGATGGGCACTTAGGCTGTTTACAAATCTTAGCTATTGTAAATTGTGTTGCTATGAACATATGGGTGCATATATCCTTTCTGATTGGTGTTTCTGATTTCTTGGGATATATTCTTAGAAGTGGGATCACTGGGTCAAATGGGAGATCCATTTTTAGTTTTTTGAGGAAATGCCATACTGTTCTCCATAGTGGCTGCACCAGTCTGCATTTCCACCAGCAGTGCACAAGGGTTCCTTTCTCTCTGCATCCTCGCCAGCACTTGTTTGTTGATTTGTTGATGACAGCCATTCTGACAGGTGTGAGGTGGTACCTCATTGTCGTTTTGATTTGCATCTCTCAGATGATTAGTGACTTTGAGCATGTTTTCATATATCACTTGGCCTTCTGTATGTCCTCTTTCCAAAAGTGTCTATTTAGGTCCTTTGCCCATTTTTTGATTGGATTGTTTATCTTCCTTTTGTTAAGTTGTATGAGTTCCCTATAAATGTTGGAGATTAAACCCTTATCAGAGATAACATTGTCAAATATGTTCTCCCATGCAGTGGGCTTTCTTGTTTTGTTTATGGTTTCTTTTGCTGTGCAGAATCTTTTTATTTTGATGTAGTCCCATTTGTTTATTTTTCTCTTTAGTTTCCAATGCCCTAGGAGCTGTATCGGTGAAGAAATTGCTTCGGCATATGTCTGAGATTTTGTTGCCTTTGGATTCCTCTAGTATTTTTATGGTTTCCCGTCTTACATTTAAGTCCTTTATCCATTTTGAGCTTATTTTTGTGTATGGTGTAAGTTGGTGGTCTAGCTTAATTTTTTTGCATGTATCTGTCCAATTTTTCCAGTACCATTTATTGAAGAGACTGTCTTGACTCCATTGTATGTTTTTGCCTCCTTTGTCAAATATTAATTGAGCATATTGGTTTGGGTCGATTTCTGGGTTCTCTATTCTATTCCATTGATCTATATGTCTGCTCTTGTGCCAGTACCAGGCAGTTTTGAGAACAGTGGCTTTGTAATACAGCTTGATATCTGGTATTGAGATCCCACCTACTTTGTTCTTCATTCTCGGGATCGCTGCAGCTATTCGGGGTCTTTTTTTTAAATTAAATCGTTATTTTTCAGATTATTACAGTTGCTCCTCTTTTTTACCCCCATAACTGCCCTCCACCCAATTCCCACCCCACCCTCTGCCCTTACTCTCACCTCACTGTCCTCCTCCATAGGTGTACAATTTTGGTCCAGTCTCTTCCCATACCCCCCACACCCCTTTCCTTCTGAGAATAGTCAGTCCACTCCCTTTCTATGCCCCGATTCTATTATATTCACCAGTTTATTCTGTTCATCAAATTATTTATTCACTTGATTTTAGATTCACTTGTTGATAGATGTGTATTTGCTGTTCATAATTTGTATCTTTACCTTTTTCTTCTTCCTCCTCTTCTTAAAGGATAACTTTCAACATTTCATATAATATTGGTTTGGTGGTGATGAACTCCTTTAGCTTTTTCTTATTTGTGAAGCTCTTTATCTGACCTTCAATTCTGAATGATAGCTTTACCAGGTAAAGTAATCTTGGTTGTTGGTTCTTGCTATTCATCACTTTGAATATTTCTTGCCACTCCCTTCTGGCCTGCATAGTTTCTGTTGAGAAATCAGCTGACAATCATATGGGTACTCCCTTGTAGGTAACTGACTGTCTTTCTCTTGCTGCTTTTAAGATTCTCTCTTTGTCTTTTGCTCTTGGCATTTTAATTATGATGTGTCTTGGTGTGGTCCTCTTTGGATTCCTTTTGTTTGGGGTTCTTTGCACATCCTGGACTTGTAAGTCTATTTCTTTCACCAGGTAGGGGAAGTTTTCTGTCATTATTTCTTCAAATAGGTTTTCAATATCTTGCTCTCTCTCTTCTTCTGGCACCCCCATAATTCAGATGTTGGTACACTTGAAGTTGTCCCAGAAGCTCCTTACACTATCTTCATATTTTTGGATTCTTTTTTCTTTTTGTTTTTCCGGCTGGGTGTTTTTTGCTTCTTCATATTTCAAATCTTTGATTTGATTCTTGGGATCCTCTAGTCTGCTGTTGGAACTCTGTATAATATTCCTTATTTTAGTCAGTGTATGCTTAATTTCTAGTTGGTCCTTTTTCATATCCTCGAGGGTCTCACTAGATTTATTGAAGGTCTCACTAAATTTATTGGCGGTTTCTAGAAAATTCTTGAAAAATCTTATAACCGTGGTTTTGAACTCTATATGCAGTAGTTTGCTTTCCTCTATTTCTGTCACTAGTGACTGTTTCTTTGTCTCTGCATTTTGGCTGCTTCCCTGTGTTGATAGAGTGGCTTTGTGTGATAGGTGTCCTATAGGGTCCAGTGGCTCAGCCTCCCCAATTACCTGAGGTGGACTCTCTTGGTGCACCCCTTTGTGGGCTGTGTGCACAGTCTTGTTGTAGTTAAGCCTTGATTGTTGTTGGTATCACTGGGAGGAATTGACCTCAAGGCCAATTGGCTGTGAGAATCAGCTCTGTCTACAGTGAGAGAACTTCTGTGCTGGAGACACCCTTCTGGGGCAAGACTTGCTTCAGTGGGGCTTTGGTGCTCACTAAGTCTGCCCCCTGAGTGTGTCCCTTATGGATCTGAGGAGTTGTAATCTGGATGGTCCTACTCTGACCACTGGGTAAACTGGCTCTTGGATCTCTAAGGAGGTGCTAATTTAGCCTCTTCCTGAGGCTAAACAGTAGGAGCTATGGAGAGATCTGCAGATTCCTCTTCTTTGTTTGGGGTTTGGAGGTGCCCAGATGAGGCCCAGCTGTGAAGCAATGCAAGCTGTTGTGGGGCCTTGGGCCTTCTTTTGGATGTTCTGGGTCTCTCTGACCCAGCTGCAGTTTGTTATATAATTTTAGATTGCAAAGGGCCATACCATTCATATGCAAAAGCCTCTGCGCACAGCTTGGGTGGGGCAGGGTCTCAGGGAACTATCAGGGTGGAGCAAACAGCTATGGCTGCTCCTCAGCCCTGCCCTAAGAGGCCCCGGGTCTCACTGTCCCGCCATAATTGCTGCAAGCACCTCTGAGAGAAAGCCGCCCTCGAGTTCTGCCCGATGCCAAACAGTCCAGTTTCTCCCCATATGAGTCTGGGTCCCCAGAGACTCACCTGGAACTGCAGTTCAGAGCAGTTGGGAGCTTATGCCTCCCTCCCAATTCAAAAAGACAACCACATCCTCAGTTGCCAGCCCTTTCTGCGTACGCCTCCGTACCTCTGCACTTTACTTCCGCACCTCATCTGAGTCTCAGTGTGCTTTTCTCTTTCCTTCTAGTTGTAGAATTTCCACTCAGCCAGCCTTCCTGTGGTTCTGGATGATGTCCGTTTTGTCCTTTTAGTTGTATTTTTGAAGTGGTTGTGTGAGGCAGCAATTTCTGGTGTTTACCTAAGCTGCCATCTTGGTTTCTCCTCTTGGGGTCTTTATTTATTCCAAATGAATTTTTGGAGAGTTTGTTCTAGGTCTGTGAAATATGCCGTTGGTATTTGAATGGGGAGTGGGTTGAATTTATAGATTGCTTTGGGTAGTATGGACATTTTAATGATGCTGACTCTACCAATCCATGAACATGGTATGTTCTTCCATCTGTTTATGTCTTCTTCTATCTCTTTTTTCAACATCCTGTAGTTTTCTGAGTAGAGGTCTGTTACCTCTTTAGTTAAGTTTATTCCTAGGTAACTTAATTTCTTTGGTGTTATGGTAAATGGGATTGCTTTTTTAGTCTCTCTTTCTGTAAGTTCACTATTGGTGTATAGAAATGCCATAGGTTTCTTGGTGTTAATTTTGTATCCTGCTACATTGCCAAATTCATTTATTAAGTCTAATAGTTTTTTGATGGAGTCTTTAGGGTTTTTTATGTACAATATCATGTCATCTGTGAATAAGGGCAGTTTTACTTCTCCTTTTCCAATTTGAATGCCTTTTATTTCTTCTTCTTGTATAATCGCAATGGCTAATACTTCCAGTACTATGTCGAACAGGAGCAGTGAAAGTGGGCATCCCTGTCTTGTTCCTGTTCTTAGGGGAAATGGTTTTAGTTTTTGCCCATTGAGTATGATGTTGGCTGTGGGTTTGTCATATATGCCTTTTATTATGTTGAGGTATGATCCTTCTATTCCCACCTTGTTGAGTTTTTATCAAAAATGGGTGTTGGATTTTGTCAAATGCTTTTCTGCGTCAATTGATATGACTATGTGGTTTTTTCTCTCAATTTGTTTATGTGATGTATCACATTTATTGACTTGTGGATATTGTACCATCCTTGAATCCCTTGGATAAATCCTACTTGGTCATGGTGTATGATCTTTCTGATGTACTGCCAGATCTGATTTGCTAAGATTTTGTTGAGAATTTCGGCATCTATGTTCATGAGGGATATTGGCCTGTAATTCTCTTTCATTGTGTTGTCTTTACCTGGTTTTGGTGTTAGGGTGATGCTGGCTTCATAGAATGAGCTTGGAAGTGTTCCTTCCTCTTGAATTTTTTGTAGTAGTCTGAGGAGGATAGGTTTTAGTTCTTCCTTGAATGTTTGGGAAAACTCCCCTGTGAAGCCGTCTGGTCCTGGGCTTTTGTTTGCTGGAAGTTTTTTGATTACTGCTTCAATATCTTCCATTGTTATTGGCCTATTGAGATTTTTAGATTCTTCCTGATTGAGTTTTGGAATGTTGTATTTTTCTAGGAATATGTCCATTTCCTCCAGGTTGTCTAGTTTGTTGGAGTAGAGTTGTCCATAGTATTTTTTAACAATCATTTGTATTTCTGTGGGGTCTGTTATTTCACCTCTATCATTTCTGATTTTGTTTATTTGGGTCCTCTCTCTTTGCTTCTTTGTGAGCCTGGCTAGAGGTTCATCAATCTTGTTTATCCTTTCAAAGAATCAGCTCTTGGTTTCATTGATCTTTTGTATTTTTTTTTTTTTGGTCTCTATGTCATTTATTTTTGCTCTAATCTTTATTATCTCCTTCCTTCTGCTCACTCTGGGCTTTTATTGTTGCCCTCTTTCTAATTCTTTGAGTTGTAGAGTTAGATGATTTACTATCATTTTTTCTTGTTTTTTGAGGTAAGCCTGTAGAGCTATAAACTTCCCTCTCAGGACTGCTTTCATTGTGTCACATAGATTTTGGATTGTTGTTTTTCATTGTCATTAGTGTCCAGGATGTTTTTAATTTCTTCTTTGATCTCATTGGTAACCCAATTAATATTTAATAACATGCTATTCAGCTTCCAAGTGTTTGAATTTTTTGGATTGTTTTTATTGTAGTTTATTTCTAATATTAGGCCATTGTGGTCTGAGAAGATGGTTATAATAACTTCAATCTTCTTGAATTTGGGGAGACTTTGCTTGTGACCCAATATGTGGTCTATTTTTGAAAATGTCCCATGTGCACTTAAGAAGAAAGTATATTCTGCGGCTTTGGGTGAAATGTTCTGAAGATGTCAATTAAGTCCATTGATCTAGTGAGTCATTTAGGATTGCTATTTCTTTGCTTATCTTTTTGTCAAGAGCCGTGGTCGGCAAACCGTGGCTTGCGAGTCACATGCGGCTCTTTGGCCCCTTCAGTGTGGCTCTTCCAGAAAATACCACGTGCGGGCATGCACGTACAGTGCGATTGAAACTTTGTGGCCCGTGCACAGAAGTCGTTATTTTGTGGAAGAGCCACGCTGAAGGGGCCAAAGAGCCACATGTGGCTCGGGAGCCGCGGTTTGCTGAGTTGCAATTTGCCGACGACTGGTCTAGAGGATTTATCTAGTGATGTCAGTGGTGTATTAAAGTCCCCTACTATGATTGTATTGTTGTCGATCTCTCCCTTGATATCTTCCAGGAGTTTTTTTATGAATTCAGTCCCTTACTTTGCATCACTTTTTATATTTCATTCCATTCCCTTCTGGCCTGATATGTTTCTGTTGAGAAATCAGTTGATAATCTAATGGGAGATCCCGTGTAGGTAACTTTCTGTCTCTCTCTGGCAGCCTTTAAGATTCTTACTTTGTTGTTGATGTTTGCCAATTTAATTATGATGTGTCTTGGTGTCGGTCTTTTTGGGTTCATCTTGTTTGGGACTCTGTGTGCTTCTTGGACTGTGTGAGTTTTTTCTTCCCCAAATCAGGAAAGTTTTCTGTCATTATTTCTTCAAACAGGTTTTCTATTCCTTGCTCAGCTTCCTCTCCTGGCACCCCTATTATGCAGATATTGTTTTGTTTCGTGTTTTCTCCCTCAGACTCTCCTCCTGCTTTTTAAGTTATTGTTTTGTGTTTGTTTGGGGTTTTTTTTTTTTCAGTTACTGCTCTGCTTGTGTTGTTTCCTACCTCGTCTTCTAACTCACTGATGCAGTCCTCAGCTTCTTCTAGTCTACTGCTGATATTTTCCATCGTGTTCTTTATTGTTCTTTATGTCTTTCTTCATTTCTTCTTGATTCTTCTTCATTTCCTCTTGATTCTTACACATGTTGTTGAATTTGTCACCCATCCTTTTGTGTCCTTATAACGATTGTTCTGAATTCTTTCTCTGACAAATTGCTTGCCTTCATTTCGTTTACTTCCTTTTCTGGTGATTCTGCCTTTCCTTTTGCATGGGGGTTCTTTGTCTCCCCATTTTTGCTGTTCCTTTGTAACTGTTTCTATATAGTAGATCAAACTTGTTTGTCACCCAGGTTTTTTTGAGTTTGTCTTATATAGTAATAAAAGATGTTTTGTGATAAAAAACAAGCACAGAGAGTACCAAACAAGATGAACCCGAAAAGACCCACACCAAGACACATCATAATTACCATGGCAAATGTAATTGTAATAAAAGATGTTTTGTGGGACCCTGTGGTGCAATCTCTCAGGTCTTCTGGACTGGGTATTTTAGGGATGCCCCTACTTGGGATATCCTAGGGATTCCCCGTACTTGGTGTAGTTTTTGTCCTGTTCATGGATGGAGTTTCCTACCAGGGTGTCTAGTTATGTGGCTCACTTTCTACCAGGTTGACTGAATAGCACAAAATACAACTCGACAAGGCATGACACAAAGGAAACAAAACATAAATGTACTCATGACACTGATAGCCCCAATAAAAGTGACCAACAGAGAAAAGAGAATTAGGAGAGGGAAAGGAGAACAAAAATTTTATTGAGGAAAGGAAAAAAATGTAATAGAGAAAAGAAAAAGAAGAAAAAGAAAAAATAAATGGGGAGAAAACACCACAAAACAAACAAATAAACCAAAAAAAATGCAAACAGCAAACACCCAGAAAATGGGGTGCAGAATCTGTAGAGGCAGAGTTTATATACGGAAAGTAAGGTTAAGTAATTGAATGAATAGGGGAAGGACCATGGTTCAGTATAGAGTAGGTAGAAAGAGAATGAGTGGATAAAAAGAAAAGAAAAAAATCAATAAATAAAATAATAAAAAGATTTAAAAAAATTTTTTTTAAATGTACCTATTTTTTCAAGATTTTTTGGAAAAGAATAGAGGAGAGAGCAGACAGGCTTGAGTTTAGTGAGTTAAACTAATTAAACAATTAGGAGAAGAAGAGATAAAAGAGGAGAGGAAAAAAAGGCATTAAAAAATTGACTAGCAAAGAAAGAGAAAAGAGAAGGGTGCATGGACTAGGAGCAGGGGAGAGGAAATTAGATACATGAGTAAGCCAACAAAGACTACAATAATAATAACATGTCAATAAAGCAGATAAAGGTCAATTTTTAACAAAGGATAAAAATAAAGGAGAGAGAAAAACTAAAGTGGGGACAGGAGCAGAGAAAACAGGATGAAAAAGGGAGAAGTGAGGAAGAAAAGGGTGGGCAAAAAAATAAAATAATGATCAAAAATTTAAATAGAATAAATAAAAATAATACAAAAAAGATTTTAAAAAAACAACACAAAAAATAAAGAAAAGAAATTGTAATAAAAGATTAAAAAGTGAAGTGTCATTCGCTTTGCTGAGTTTTAATGCCCCATGGGGGCTGGTTTAAGACCCCACTCTTCTGTTCTGTCTGCCACTTCACAATTTCCTGTTGGATAGTCAGCAACGTGTTGAAGTTCCAAGAGATCCACCGGTACCCTGTGTCTGTCTCCACAGCCTTGGTTGCAAGCAGGCAGGACCAATATGCCCGCTTTGCCTATCTGCCAGCTGTCAGTCTTAATCACTCAAGCACCTTATACACTTGCTTTTTAAATGCCTAGTTGTACAAACTTGCATAGTTTCAAAGTGCTTTAATGGCCACTGTAAAATTTATTTCTGTCTCAAGCCCCCAAAAGTAGTAATTCTTTTGGACTTGTCTCCATTGTTTACTGTTTTTCTATCTCCTCATTGCCAGCTATTGTCAGGATACCTCAATACGGCATCTCTTGAACCATCCTAGTTTTCTGATTCTGATCCACTGAGGCTGGAATACCTGAAGGCCAACATTGTTAAGAACCATATCAAAAATAAAAATAAATAATTCCCTTAAAGAGCTTTGTGAAGTCTGTGAGCTTCAATGTATGGAATTTTAACATCTTTATTATTATTATTATTTCATGATTATTTGATGCATTTCAACCAGCTGAAATTTCTATAAGTGAGGTATAAAGTTAGCTTACACTTTCTGGTTTTGAAATTTTTAAGTTAATGTTTCAGAGTTAACCTTTACACTTATCTGGTTTGGGTCTATTTTAGTAATATATACTGAAACTATTATATTGTTTACTGTTACCTTAGGAATCACTAAATTGTGATAAGTACTATTTTCTAGAAAACAACCTAATAAATATATTTACATTTTAGGAGGAAAGCATTTGTTTGTCTCAGATGAAGTCCAGAACAATGGCCTCATTGATGCTTTCGGGACCCTTGCATCAGGAAATGCTGATATTTCCCAGAAGTCTATTGAGGTCTGAGTTCCAATTCCAGGTTTTTGTGTTTGTATTTAGCCATACCAAGTAAAATACTTTGGTTATTATAATTTTGAGTTCTATATTTTCTCAAAGTATGTTATTAATTAAAATCAAAAGTAAGTATTTAATAGAAATTCATGGCCATTCTTTAGATATGGCCAAATTAAGTAGTGAAATAGATTTTTTTTCTTTTTCTTCTTACATAGAGTTTGGTTAAGGAATAACATCAAAATGTTAAATTTTTCCCTAGTCAGTTTGGTTCAGTGGAAAGAGCAGCAGCGTGCGGACTGAGGGTCCCGAGTTCAATTCCAGTCATGGGCACATGCCTGGGTTGCAGGCTCAGTCCCCAGTAGGGGGCCTACAGGAGGCAGCGGATCAATGATTCTCTCATCATTGATGTTTCTATCTATCTCTTCCTCTCCCTTCCTCTAAAATCAATAAAAATATATTTTTTAAATGTTAAATTTTTCATAAAATATAGACTTTGCCCACTAATACAGCATCCATTTTTCTATGAATACATAAAAATATATCATACTTTCAAGACTTCTCTCACCCTTCACTGCTGTGAAATAAATTTAGGTTAGATGAATGAACTCAAGAACCTGGATTAGAAATGGAAGAAAAGTATCTTAGAAATTTATCCAAAGAAAGAGAATGAATAATCATTACAGATCTAAAAATTAGGGTTTCCTTTTTGTCTTCAATTACTCTTTTCACTGGCTTTCTATTTTATTCATCTCTCTTCTGAACCCAACTCATTTTTCACCTGTGCTTTAATAACACCCTCATTTTCTGTTACTTAGATTCAAAAACTTTGACTAAACTTTGATTTTTCATTCATGTCCAATGTAAAATGTCAATGCAGACTTTCAATTTCATTGAAAGTATTTTTTACAAAATTCTGTTTTTATCCCTATCCATTCCCACAAAATCTACATCTTCCAGTTCATTGGGTCTATGCCTACAATAAAACTTGACATGATCACCTAAACAAAACTATTTTTCTCTGGTCTCTAACAGTGAAGAGCACATAAATTATAGGATGCCGGATTAGGATTGTATGTGCAGGTTGATGTTGAGATCTGGTTTGTAGCTTCACCTTGCAAACAGATCAAAAATTCATCTGGGATCTAGCTTGGCAATGTATAGAGAATAAATTGAAGGAGAATAAAACTAATTTCTGAGGGTTTCAACCTGATTGACTTAGAAAATGATGATACTACTATCTAAAGTTCACAAGTAAAGAGGGAGAACTGATCTTGAAGATATTGTTTTGTGTTCTGTTTAAACCTTAGTGATTTTTAGTGGATGGTGGGACATTAAAATGGCATATCCTAAAGAAGTTTAAATATAAGAGTGGGATGTGAAAAATCGGCCAGAAAAGAAGGTCATTTGCATATAGGAAGTGGTCAGAGTTTTAAACGTGAACTTCTTAAACTGTATGGAAGGGGCAGAAAGGTTTTGTTTCCCTCACTTAAAATGGCAGCTGGAATACAGAGGAAAGGTTGCCTTCCACTCTTTACTCAGTTATTGTCCCCTAGTACTGCTATGTAGTCAAAGCTTTTTAACTTTCTTACACCTTCTTGATAGGGAGTCTAAAAAAATCACTCACATTCAGATTAACTTGATATTACTTGGTCCACTTTACAGAGGACTGAGATTTTTGACATTGCGATGATGTTTCAATGGTAGAATTCACTCTCTTATCTCAGTACTGATATGGAGATATTTTTGGTTAAGGACTAGGTTAGAATAGAAGTTGAATTTCCCATCATTTCCTGGAATGACACATCTGTAAAAAGCACTTTCTTGGTCAGTAGATAAAATTCGCTGTACTTGACTAAAGCCATCCTCAAAATCTTGAAAAACTTTCTTTGAGGCTCCTCTCAAAGAAAGATCCTAACATGCACTTCTTAATATTCAAACCTTCATAAATATCCTTTTGCCCTATTCACACTCTTGCTGAACATGTTTATTGTTCAGGGCTACTAACTCTAGGATGTGTGAAAAAGTTCATGAAGTTTTCACATCAGGAAAATATCCATGAGTGCTTGTCTCATTACTTCCTGGTCCTCACCTAACTATGTCTCTACTCAAATACTAGTACTGTAGCCACCATCATGAAGATGGGTAAACTGAGGGTTTCTCTCTCTCTCTCTCTCTCTCTCTCTCTCTCTCTCTCTCTCTCTCTCTCTCTCACACACACACACACACACACACACACACACTACAGCTAATTCTTTAACATTGTAGTATCCTTTAATGCTAAAATCTCAGGTGGGTGTATACAAAAACAACTGGGGAAAAAATAATACAGCCATGTTTCCAACTGTAAAACCCATTCTCCTGCTCTAGTGGTTTTAACTCAGACCCTATATGTCCATACTTTCTGACTAATGACTGTCACATCCCAATCAGCTTTCAGAGAGATCACAGGGCTACGGAGGTATGCCCTACATAAGCTTGTTCTCAGGCCAGAAATTAAGAACTATGTGTTTTAAAAAAAGAAAAAAGAATAAAATTACTCTTTTCTCCAGTCACTAATTTTATAATATATATTTATACAGATTGAAAGTAAGGGATTAACACTCAATAATAATCACTGGATGAATGGAACTGTAATAATTGATAGCACTGTGGGGAAGGACACATTCTTTCTCATCACATGGGTAACACAGCAGCCCATTATTTCTCTCTTGGATCCTAATGGAACACCAATGAACATTTCCACAGTGGATGCTGCTTCCAAAATGGCCTATTTCAGTATTCCAGGAACTGCAAAGGTAAGCAATCAGCTTTTTTATTTCCACATAAATCTGTTTCCTAGCTAAAAATACTTTGTTTAATATTCATAAATATGAGTACCAATACTTGTATCATCTTCAAAAAAATACAATGTACTTTCTATGCCTGTATGGTCCTGAAAATTATGGTGGCAGGAAAAGGAAAGAAGAATGTATGCATTAGGAGGAAAGAAGAGAAGGGAAAATTAGATAGGCTAAGAATAACTTTAAGGAGGCAATGTAGGAAATCTGTACAGCTTATTAGTATTTCCAGATCATAGAATAAAGAATTAAAAATCTCTGAACTCCATAAGGCCAAGACCAAGGCAAACTTTCCAAAACTTATTTTTCCCAGCTGAGATTTCACAAAGTTTGGACACCATGCATGACAATAGCCAGGATGCCCTATCCAAATTGCCTTGATTTTCATCCATTTTCCTTAAAAAAAATCTCAAAAATTTCAAAACCCTGTTTATTCTACAACATATTTCTAAGATTTATTTTAGAGTTAGATAATGGAAACACAGAAAATAGCTTGATCTGATATTCTACTTCCATTGAATTTTTAGGTGGGTGTTTGGACTTACAGTCTTCAAGCCAAAGCAAACTCAGAAACATTAACTATAACAGTTAATTCTCGAGCAGCAAATTCTTCTGTGGCCCCAATCACAGTGAATGCTAAAATGAATAAAGACACAAACAGCTTCCCCAGCCCAATGATTGTTTACGCAGAAATTCTACAAGGGCATATACCCATTCTTGGAGCCAATGTGACTGCATTCATTGAATCAAGTAGTGGAAAAACAGAAGTTTTGGAACTTTTTGATAATGGTGCAGGTAATTTACAGTGTTTTCCTTTTTTAAAGAATAAGGCTATATTTTCATAACTCAGGATATGTTATGGGTCCCGTGACAGTATGGGGGAGTGAGAAACACCAAGAAAATTGATGCAGATTGTGAACAACAGGGACAGCAAGTAATTCTATTCAGGTAAAACCTGCAAAGTGATTAGCAAGTGTCTTGCACATAGTAATACTCAATAAGTGTTATTTACTGTCATTATTGTTCGTCATCTAGACAACCGATGTCTATCACCAAATAGAAAGGTCTCATTCAACAAACTGAGAACAGCATCAAGAATTCTGAACAAGTATTTCTTGGGGGCACATCATCAAGAAAGTCTGGCCAGAGAGAGTGAAACACAGCAGCCATGAGGGGTTAAGGGATAGAACCTGGCCCCCAGCAGGGAAGAGGGACAGGCAAGAGTAATTAATTCCCAAACTTCAAATACAGTCCTGGGAACTGAGGCTCAACGGCAAGCAGAACTGCCACAAAACAGGAGGGGACATTACAACAGCATCAGATACCAGGTTTGACTAGCATGAAACAAGACACAGTGTGGGCCATGCTCTCTCCCTGGTGTGCATGGGTGAGCAGTGCTTAAAGATCTTTTTCACGGTCTGGGTTATTCTGGGAACTGAACCTTCTTTTGAGAATTCAGTGAGCAAGGGGGAAAAAAAGCACCAATTTGATAGTCATCTGGATTACCATGGATTTCTATCTGTATCTTATGCAATGTAATTAATTCAGACCATTTATAATCCTATCATCAAGAGCTGGCCCGTGAAAAATAGGGAGCTCATTCTAAGGGATATGCTTACAAAGGATATATGCTTGACTTGGAAAATGCATAAATTTCTCTTTTCCTTTACAATAATAATTCATTCCTTAATTTCTATAACAAGGTGCTGACACTTTCAAGGATGATGGGGTCTACTCCAGATATTTTACAGCTTATTCAGAAAACGGCAGATATAGTTTAAAAGTACGAGCTCATGCAGGAACAAACACTGCCGCACGAAATTTAAGGCATCCACCAAACAGAGCTGCATACATACCAGGCTGGGTAGTGGATGGTGAGTAACTCATGATATCTGAAACACAGTGCTGGCCGGAATACTTGTGAGATGATATGGTTAAGGCTTCAAACATTTTACAACTCAAAGTATAGTTTTTCACATTTCTGGAATGAAATTCTTAGTCATACTGGGATTTGCCTTTAAATTAACCTATGCTTTGGTACAGTGTCTGGCATTCAATAAATGTCAGCCATTAAATTAATTTGGAGCACCTTACCTACAGCAACAATAATATGCCAGATGTTCAACTAAGGGTGAAGGAAACTGGCTAATATATTATGTACCTAAGCATAAGCCAGGGAGTAAACATTTATTTTGAATATTTTTATTAAGTCAAAAGAAAAATGTATTGAGAAAGGTGATGATAAGGATTGAGAATTTATTCCTTATTTATTCTCCTTTGTTTTGTCTCTTATCTTGTGGCTTTTCATGGGCTTTCTGTTGACAATTGGAATATAACCTGAAGTATTACCCCTCGGCACTTGCAACAGGGAGGAAGGGAAGAACATGGTACAGTGGTTAGAGGGAAACCAGAACCAATTTCCCCAGGTTTATTCCCTGCTTAAAGATAAATTGAGAAACAAAGAATTCCCATTAAAAGCACAGGTTGAATTTTATAATATTATTTCCATTCAGGGCAGCCTTAATTCCTTAGCAATTCATTACCCAATTATATCCTACAATTCATTATCCTACAATATCCTGGTCAGGATACTAAAGAAAACAAGTTCTCCCACCAATTGGATGCTTATTACTTTGTCACTAAACTTAGTAAAATATACATATAATGGGGCAAAAGTAGGTTTACAGTTGTTCATGTGGAAAATAAAACAATAATAAATAATATAAGAATAAACTCTGTTTCGCTTAGTAATATATATATATATATATATATATATATATATGGTGGGGCAAAAGTAGATTTACAGTTGTTCATGTGGAAAATAAGACAATAATAAATAATATAAGAACTCTGTTTCGTATACTGTAAAATTACTGCAAAATTACTTTTGCCCAACCCTTTTATATATATACTAGAGGCCCTTTGCAAGAACATTCCTACAAGAATAGGGCTTCCTGCAGCTGGAGCAAAGCAGAGAAGGGAGCAAAACCCGCTGAGGCCAGCTTTGCTCCCACCCCCAGCCACTGCGGCTGAGTTTGCCCAATCGGCCCGAGCCACTGTGGCTAGGTTTGCCCAACCTGCCCCCAGCCACTGTGGCTGTGTGGGTTTGCCCTACCCGCCCACAACTGCTGCAGCTGGGTGGGTTTGCCCAACCCGCCCCCAGCCGCTGTTGCTTGGTTTTCCCAACCTGCTCCAGCCGTTCCCCCTGGGTTTCCCCTCCCATTCCCAGCTGCTGTGGCTGGGTTTCCCCTCCCATCTCCCAGCTCCTGCCTCCGCAGCCTTGGTCCTTTACTGTGTCCACGTGGACTCTACTTTACTCCCTTCGGTAGCACTGGCTTCCATGTTGTCTTCAGTCTTCGCTCAGAGCCGGTATATGCAAATTAACCACCATCTTTTAGCTTCTATAATTGAAATATTGTATCTTTTGGAGCTGTTGCTTCAGGAGCTCAGAGCCGGCGCCAGGCTTCCTAGATCGCCAGGGCAACGAAGCCTCCTGTTCGCTTCAGCTGCCTGGCTGCCGGCCGCCATCTTGGTTGGCAATTAATTTGCATATCGCCCTGATTAGCCAATGGGAAGCATGTTGGAGGTATGGTTAATTACCATGTTTGTCTATTATTAGATAGGACTAGAGGCCTGGTGCATGGATTCATGCACTGGTGGGTCCCTCGGCCTGGCCTGCACCCTCTGGCAATCTGGGAGCCCTCAGGGGATGTCAGAGAGCCAGTTTCAGCCCAATCCCTGCAGGCGAGGCCGAGGGACACCACCAGTGCACAAATCTCTGCACCAGGCCTCTAGTATGCATAAAAGATCTTTGGTTAATCTCTTCCTGCCCTCTCCCCTCCCCCCTTCCCTCTGCGATTCATCAGTCTGTTCCATGTTTCCATGCCTGTGCATTGAGTGTCTGTCCCCTGGTGATTAGTGGGCGTCATAGCTACTGGTCGAATGGTCGCTTAGGCTTTTATATATATAGATAAGTGAGAAAATAAGTAGGATGGGGATTCAATTGAAAGTACTAGTAGTGCTGTGCTCATTATAAACAAGGAAATTTTTAATGCAGAGAAAATTGAAGGGAATCCACCAAGACCTGAAATTAATAAGGATACTCAGACAAATTTGGAGAGTTTTACCCGAACAGCAATTGGAAGTGCATTTGTGGTTTCAAATATTTCAACATTTCCCTTGCCTGACCTGTACCCACCAAGTCAAATCACAGACCTTGAGGCCACACCTGATGGGGATATGATCAATCTAACATGGACAGCACCAGGAGACAATTTTGATGTTGGGAAAGGTAAGGATGAAGTGTCATGCAGTATTGATTAGGTGAAATATGCTCATGCAAAAAACAAAAGTATAAGGGTAGATGGGAGAACAATTTTTAATTAATAACTCAGTAAAGTATTAATTTTATAATCTGACTAGAGGCCCAGTGCATGAAATTCATGCATGGGTGTCCCTCAGCCCGGCCTGCACCCTCTCCAATCTGGGACCCCTTGGGAGATGTCCAACTGCCGGTTTAGGCCCAATCCCACAGGCAGTTGGACATGCCTCTCACAATCCAGGACTGCTGGCTCCTAACCACCTCTGCCTGCCAGCCTGATTGCCCCTTAACTGCTCCCATGCTGGCCTGATCGCCCCCAACTGCCCTCCCTTGTTGGCCTGATCATCCCCAACTGCCATCCCCTGCCGGAATGATTACCCCCTAACTGCTTGCTCCCCTGCCGGCCTGATCGACCCTAAACACCTCTGCCTAAGCCCCTGCCACCATGGCTTTATCCGGAAGAAAGTCGGATGTCCGGAAGATGTCCAGTTGACCCGGTCTAATTAGCATACTACCTTTTTATTAGTATAGATATTCTAAATCAATCAAATATAACACATTTTAACTGGTCCCATTTTCAAACAAAAAAAGGTAGTAATGGCAGTTTAAAAATAAGAATTCAGCTTATATTGAAAAATTATTAAAGCTTTGGATATGAGTATAAACTTGGAATAACTAAACAATATTTTGAGGAGAATGAATAAAAAGGAATTTAACATGGTATGATCTAGTTTCTAAACTACATGTACTTTTTTTTTTTTTAGTTAAACAGTATATCATAAGAATAAGTGGAAGTATCCTGGATCTAAGAGACAAGTTTGATGATGCTCTACAAGTAAACACAACTGATCTGCTACCAAATGAGGCCAACTCCAAGGAAACCTTTACATTTAAACCAGGAAATATCTCAGAAAAAAATGCAACCCACATATTCATTGCCATTCAAAGTGTGGATAATAGCAGTTTGACATCAAAAGTATCCAACATTGCACAAGTAGCTTTGTTTATTCCTCAAGGAGATACTGATGAAATACATCCAAATCCTAATCCTGGAATTAGCATTTCTTCTTTGGTGCTGTTAGTGGTTGGATGCGTGGTCCTTGTTACTATTATTTTAAGTGTCACTATTTATATCTTAAAAAAGAAAAAAAATCCAAACAGACCTAGTACAGCGTTTTAAACCGACCTAGAACAGCGTTTTAAAAACACATCAACAACAAAAGTGAAGGATATTCCTGAATTTTTAAATTCATCTTGTGTGATCATGAACTCCTAAAAATAACTTCAGAAGTTCTAGAAGGGATACTTAACTATAAACACTCAGGAGTATTTGAAAAATTGTAAGCCAATGCTAAAGTTAATAACTTTGTTTACTCATTATTTTGTTTATCAGAAAAAGTGATGAATAATAACATTTTTTACATTCATGCCAGGTTGTTTGTTATTTGATACAACAGCTGTCTAGAATAATACCTCAAATTTCATGAAAAAGTTAAAATTGTCACCCTGACCAGTTTGGCACAGTGGATAGAGCCTCAGCCTGCGGACTGAGAGGTCCCGGGTTCAATTCCAGTCAAGGGCATGTACCTTGGTTTCAGGCACATCCCAGTGGGGAGTGTGCAGGAGGCAGCTGATCGATGTTTCTCTCTCATCGATATTTCAAACTCTTTATCCCTCTCCCTTCCTCTCTGTAAAAAATCAATAAAATATATTTTGTAAAAGTTAAAATTGTCTATGTGAATTGTCAAATATAAGTGTAAGAAAGCAAATAAACTATATTTGAGTAAAAATGAATTTAGTCTTGGAAGTTTTAAGTGTAAATTGATGTTATTGTATTTGCCCAAAGTTTCCAATTATATTCTACTATATATAATATAAGTAAGGTCGTGTTTACTGCCATTCACTGACATGAAGGATACTAGCAAAAAAATCAGTTACCACATGTCAAACCATAGTCTCCCTTATTTTAGTTCAATATAATCATACATACTTCAAATAAAGAAAACTAAATTTTAAAAAATATCTAATTATCACTGCATCATAGCCTAAGATTCACAACCATAGTAATGAATAAGATCAACTAAAGAGAGAAAGTAGGTTGGGATGAGCAGGTTCACATGGTAGGCCATGGCCAACCCTGCCAGAGATCCTAAAGATGCTAACAAAATGAAACATAGAGCATATAACCATGGGCCTATCATGGTACTGAAAGAATTTTCATCCAGGGAGTAGGTGGACTTATGAGTCCAAGTTTACAAGCATATGGTTACCTTGTTCCTCCAAATGATGGTTTTTTCACTTTGCAAAGAGTTTTGCCACCAGAACAGGCACGAAGATCAGCATCATCACTTGTATCCTGGACTACTGTAGCCTTGGCAGGAATTATTTATAGGTTTGGAAGTAAAGCAAAATGAAAGCCATGTAAACTGAGACCTGGGGTCACTTTTAACAATCTTTAAACATAGAACAAACTTTTTGACCTGACATAATTAATTTGGTATAATTAGCAGGGCTGACAAAAAGGGCCTTGTGGTTTAAATTGAAGGTAGTAAAGCAAAGGAAGAGGAAATAAGTGGGAGACCTCTAATTACTGGGCAGTTTGAATTACTCTCAAAGCAATCTTTGGAAAAGAAGCTGTGCAGTAGGGCACTGGGACACAGTGCTGATGAAGCAGAAGGTCTATTAGCACTTAAGTTCCTTTAGTGGGCTGGCACCTACTCAGCCAGTGCTAATGGTTATGGATGCACAGGTGAACCTGAAGAAAATGTAGAAAACGAGTAAGCGTAGGACACCTGGACCTTTACCGAGAGGGGACAAAAAGCCTGAAATTTTGTGTTGGAAACAGAAATAATACACAACAGCTAGACTTTCCTTGTGTCCTTCCCACCCACCTATCCCACAGCTCTAGCAAAGCCTTCCAGCCTGGTTATTATTGCCCTCCCATATGATCTGGTGCAATAACTATGCTCTGATGACTCTCAGTAGTGGGCTCTCCCCTTCCAGGTCAGGCGTTGGTTTAGATCTATTTCCAGGACTGCATCCAGTAGCTAATTGTGAATTAGTAAGATTCAGAAAAATAACAATGACTATCATCGTTGTAGCCCCTGTTCAACTAAGACTCCACGTTCAAAAACCAGTAAGACTTTTAAGACAGCAACAGCAAAGTATTAAACCCTGCACAGGGACCTTCTAAGCACAGGATTCTGCACAAATGCATGGATCATGCCCACTAAGCCCCCCTCTCTCACTATAGCACAGGATCTCTCATTGCTAGGATGTGAGGTACATTTCAATTCCAGGAAAACCCCTTGCCACCACCCTACACTTCTAATTTCTACAGTCACATGGATGATACCTGTTCATCCTTCAGTTCTTAGAAGAGGTGTCACTCTTCTGGGAAGCTTACTTAACTCCTCCAGTCCCCCTCTGACCAGGTTAAATTTCTTTCACAATGCTGCCGGTGGAAATGGGATCCTTTTATGGGGTTGCTAAAAACGCATTTCAGGAGACTCACTCATGGGAGGTTGAGGTTTCACGCTAAGATTCATTGTAGAAGCTAAACCAAAGGACTACCCCTGGGTTCCCAGTGTCTCATCTCTGTCCCACCACGGAAAAAGTTCATCCTTGTCTTCATCAGGCCCAGAAATAGAGCCCGTGTCCAGACATTTTACGCCCAAAATAAATCCAAGCTTACATAGTCAATTAACATTTGACAAAGGAAACAAGAACAAACAATGGAATAAAGACAGTCTAGTCAATAAACAGTATTGGGAAAACTTGACAAATACATGTAAAAAAAACTATACTACCTTCTTACCTTCTCATACAAGAATAAACTGAAAATGGATTAAAGACTTAACTGCATAATTAATGGAGATATAACTGGAAAAGGCAGACCTGCTCACGAAGGTTGATGGAAAAGAGCATTGAATACACCACTTTATTGTATACAGTGTTTTGTGTGCTTATATCAGGCAGAAGTAACCCAATCTAAGGGTCATAGAAAGTCTCTCTGAGAATGTAAAATTTTATCTAAAACTTAAGGGATGAGTAGAAAATCACCAAGAGGTTAGAAAGTAGTCTCCCAAGCAAAGGGAATAGTATGTGCAAAATATTTGGGAGAAAAGCTTCAGGCCATTGAGAAACAAAAAGACTAGTCTGATCAGAGTGGAAGACGAGGCTAAAGAATTAGGGTGTGGGTTTTAGTGGGGTGGGGACCTTGCAAGCCTCACTAGGATTCTGAACTTTATCACAAAGTGGTACAATCATAACTTGTTTTCAAAAGCTCACTAGGTGGTTTAACATATCATTAAAAGCGTCTGTGGGGACACAAAAATGGGAAAGATCAACTGATTTGGTAGCCTTCCCAGAGAAGAAACATTTGAGTTGAGCATTGAAACATTCGAGTTGAGCTTTGAAACATTCATGAGATTCTACCAGGCAGCAAAAGAGAAAGGGCTTTGCAAAAAGAGGGAACAATGACAAAGGCACCAGCATATAAAAAGAGCTGGGCATGCTGGGGAACCGGAAGCAACTATACAGTACTATGGTAGAAAGTGGAGAGAGGACAGTGGAAAATAAACCTAACAGGCACATCCATAACATTTTTATGTATAAATGGTACAATATGGAACAAATACCATATGTTTAAATATTTAAAAGTTAAAATCATGCTAACAAATTATATGAAATTTTTTCTCCCTACATACTGTCATATTCAAAAGATGGTGAATGAGAGTCTGTATAGTGTAGGTAAATACAGTAAATTTACTTTCATATAGGCCTTTATTTACACTTAACAGTCTAAATATTATTATATCTTAATGCGAGATTTGCCAAGTCATACAGTTCTAAAGCAAAAGTTCATCAACTTTATGACTAAGAAAATTACATAAATCTCGTCAGATCACAATGATTAAGAGTCACCTACCAGGTTCTACAGCTAGTTGTTTTTTTGTTGGTGGTGGTTTGTTTTTCAAGTAATTCCAGTAATCACTGCATATCTGACATGAATAATTGGATACAGATATGAAATACTGAAAAGTTTGTGAAATTGTTTATTAAATGTAAAAATTAAAACTGCTCTTGAGTGAGGTTAGCCACACTAGAAATTTATAGAGTCTTGCAAGATATCTAAACAAATTATATACCATGAAAATCCAATTATTTCATTTTTTATAACAAAGTCTAACAATATCATGGTTTCTTTCATCACTTCTGTTGATTCTTCCTCAAATTCTCTCATATCTACCTTTTGTTTTCTTTTTTTATTACTCTAGTTCATTTACACCTCACTGATTACAATAGACTCATGTCTGATGTTTCTGTTGCCTAATACTCCACGTCTATATTGAAGCTCATATATCTTTCCTAAAACATAATTTTTATCATGTCACATCTCTGCTGAAAATCAGCAAGCTTCCCCTTTCCATATGATAAAATTCAAACTCCTCACTAAATGTCCATCTTATCCACCTCCTTCCCCTCCTTATACTATTTTCATAGCACAAAATTAGGTATCCGTCTTTCAAGCCTGAATTTCAGTCATATCTTCTTACCTTATCCCTGAGTCTAAATTCATCTCTCTCCTTTCTTTGAATATTATCTGAATCACACATTTTAGCATTTAAATATACAACATATGGGGGTAATATGTACATACAGTATATTAGAATTTAGAAAGTTGTATGTACAAAAAGTATAAAAGAACTAAATTGCAGAGAGAAACACTTCCTGTTTCAGGCAGAGGGACTGTGCTGAGGTAAGGCAAAGCTACCAGAGCTTTTGTTTATTTTTTTAATATATTTTATTGATTTTTTTACAGAGAGTAAGAGAGAGGGATAGAGAGTTAGAAACATGGGATGAGAGAGAAACATCAATCAGCTGCCTCCTGCACACCTCCTACTGGAGATGTGCCAGCAACCAAGGTACATGCCCTTGACTGGAATCGAACCTGGGACCCTTCAGTCCGCAGGCCTACACTCTATCCACTGAGCCAAACCGGTTAGGGCAACCACCAAAGCTTTTAACAGCCAGGCGGGGTGACATGATCATTGAGAACATGTAGGAGCACAAATACAGAGGTCATTCTCCAGAAAAATATCTTTCAAGCAGCAGGGAAAGCATAAAAAAATCACATTTAATACAGCTCATTTAAAGAAAGTTGGTTAGAGATTAAGT